TTGGCTGAACACGAGCCAAGACGCCATTCAAGGTACGGGGCAACACAAAGATAAGTTTTGGTACAAAGCTAACGACTACTTTATCCAATACTCCACCGATCCAACGAGCCGCACACCAAACCAAATGATGCACCGTTGGTCAACGATTCAACTGTCTGTCAACAAGTTCTGCGGGTGCGTTGCTCAGATTGAAGGAAGATAGATCTGGTACGAAAATTATTGACCAGGTAAATGTTTAACTTATATGTTTTTATGTAAATATTTAACTTATATGTTTGATTATTCTAAATTTAACTCTTGTGTAGACTGCAGAAATAAAAAAATTATACCAATCTCTTTATAGTAAGCCATTCGTGTTTGATCATTGCTGGGTTGAGTTGCGTCATCATCAAAAGTGGATCCAACAAACGAAAACTTACAATAAGATTCGATCACAGCCGAGAAGAATCACAAACTCTGATTCCTCACCAAACAATTCCATGCCAGCGACCCCTATCGAGTTGAACACTGACTCGGATGATGTTATAGCAAGGCCTGAAGGGAGGAAAGCGACAAAGCTCAAGAGAAAACAAAATGTGAAAAACTCTGAGTCCGCGAAGTCCATCATGGGAGAGGCTTTCGCGTGGATGAAGCAAACCACTAATCAAAAAATAGAGCTAAAACAGAAGAAACAAGATGACGATATTATAAAGATGGATCTCTCAACACTCAATTCAGTTTAACAACAATACTTTGAAATGCGTCAGGCTGAGATATTGGAGAGGTGGATGTCTAAGGGTTCTTCAAAATTAACATATATTGTACTCGCATTGCATCCTCATTAGTTCTTCCTAATTATCAAATATTATCTTATGATTAGATAACTACTTTATTGAAAATAAAATTGGCGAAGTACAACAACCTGAACTCCTTTTCTGAAATTACATTAGACATAAAGAAACTTAATTCTCGGCGATGGATCCCTTGAGCTGTCACAGATGCTCGATCAAATCATTTTTTAGTGATTTGTGTGTTTGCGTGTTCCTGATCCGATGATGATTTTGGATGAACTCAGTTAGAGGCACCGTCTGCACATGAGAAGGTTCAACGACTGGTACCGAATCAGTAAAATCGAAGTTGTCTAATTGACAATCTCGTTCATTTTCAACGATCATGTTATGTATTATGATACAAGCTGTCACGATGTCTTTCAGCACACAAGGTTGCCAGAAACGTCCTGGTCCACGAACAATCGCAAATCGAGCTTGCAACACGCCAAAAGCTCGCTCAATATCTTTTCTTGCGCTTTCTTGTTGTTGAGCAAAGTACTTATGTTTGTTTCCTCGAGGTGCTGGAATAGTCTTCACTAATGTAGACCACTCTGGGTAAATCCCGTCGGCGAGATAGTATCTCATATTGTACTCGTATCCATTGACAGTATAGTTGCACGGTGAAGCTCTTCCCTCCGCAAGTTGTGCGAAAATCGGTGAACGATGTAGAACATTGAGGTCATTGTGAGACCCCGACAGTCCAAAGAAGGCATGTCATATCCAAAGATCTTTGCTAGCTACGGCCTTCAAAATAATTGTAGGTTCATGAAAATGCCCAGTATACATACCTTGCCAGGCAGTTGGACAGTTCTTCCATGTCCAGTGCATGCAGTCGATGCTCCCAAGCATACCAAGAAAACCTCGTTGTGAACCTTGCTCGAGCAGGCGTGCAACGTCTTCATTAGTCGGTGAACGAAGGTATTCCTCTCCAAAGATGTTGATAATCGATCAAACGAACCTCTTCACGCTCTCAAGCGACATACTTTTGCCGATCCGAACGTAGTCGTCAACAGATTCGGCGGATGCTCCATATGCGAGCATTCGCAAAGCTGCAGTAATCTTTTGAAGACTAGATAGTCTAACTGTCCAGCACCATTCCTCTTTTGGACGAAGTACTTGTCATGTTCGACGACTGCATCGTGGATTCGAAGGAATAACGAACGTGTCATTCTGAATTTTTGACGAAAATAATAAAAAGGATAGGTTGGTACGTCAACAAAATAATCTTGGAACAACCGATTGTGGTCTTCCAATCGGTTTCGATGGAGCACGATACGTCTTTTGTGTTGAACTGAAGTTGAACATTTCTCTTGTTCTTCTTCCTCAATGACAGCTGCTCCCATAAGAAAGAACGTCTTCATCATTTCATCATCGTTAGAGCTAGATGAGCTAGACATTTTGTTCTGGGAGATGATGAGTTGAGGAGAGAAGCCATCGAATTTTATAGAAATCAGTCGGTTGACGGTCAAAGTTTGCGATACCTCAAACTTCGTGCCCCACCTCAAAGACCGCGAGTTATCTCGAAGACCGTGTGCATTCCCTCGAAGACCGTAGGTTACCTCGAAGACCGTGTACGTTCCCTCGAAGACCGTAGGTTACCTCGAAGACCGTGTGCGCTCCCTCGAAGGCCGTATCCAATGGTTAGAAATGAAATACAAGAGGTTTAAATATAATTGAAAGTAATGGATAAAATATTAAAATAGAAGAGGAGTTTTTTTGATATTGTTGGAGCTCCTAACTAGGAGCTTGTTGGAGCTCCATAAAAGAAGGAGGGTCTCCCAAGGCTTATTTTTTTAATTTTTTATTCTAAAATGCTTGAGAGCTCTTGAGAGCTTGCTGACTGACTCCCAACTGGGAGCTTGATGCACTTGCTCTTAGGATTGTTGGTATAACTGTATAAGAAATATTAAGAATTCTAGCATTGCTTCCATGACCAACCATAGCGTAGTAAATTTTCATTTTTCAATTTTTCTATGAAAAAATAATCCGCTAAGAGAATGGAAGAGTAGGTTGCAACATATGTGATAGTCAATGGCTATAAGGAGAAAACCTTTGTACTTTCTTTACGCAAAATGTAGACATGTCATTAGAACACAAGAGGAAGAACTGAGGAGACTTACAGAGATATCAACCGAAATGATGTAGTCTTTTGAGGATATTTCATTCTTACAATCAGTTCGCACGAAGCAAATCCAAATAAAGTCCATTAATCAGTTCTGTGTTAATGGAAAAACCGCAAATGAGATTCACACTTAACTTTTTCTTTAGAGAATCTAATGAAAATAGCATACCAAGTGTTATATGTTCAATCTTGTTGTTTTTATTCAAGTCCTTTAAGAATAATTTTATTGCTTTAAGAATAATTTTATTGCTTGTAATTTGCTTATATAGGTTGTTCTATAAATATAGGCCATTACAGTACTGTTTTAACAAGCCGATTATGATGTTTTTTTTTTCTGTAAAAAATTGAAAATATATGCAGCACGCAATAGCTGCATTGCATTTGCTAGGATACCACTATATATAATAAAAAACCCTAGCCATTGCGGAACCAACTTGCTTTTCCGCAATGTACCTGGTGGGGCCCAAAAACGCGTCTCTCATCCTTTCTCTTCCGCAATTTTCCTCCCGCATGTGTTAACAACACGTGTCCCAACCTAAGACCCCGACACCTCCGATGCCTACTCTTGATTTCTGCCCTCTTCTCTTCATCGCCTTCTCCTTCTTCTACCTCCCCGACTTCTTGTCTATCACCTACTCCTCGTCTTTGACATTTCTTCGATTGGAGAATTGAGCTCTCCGAGGCCTCCAGCTATGAATCATGATGAGAAGATGAGAACTCAGCATCAATCTCATCACTGCAGCGGCAACTGGAACTATGATTCCTTTACAGTTCTCACCCTGACTTTCCTCCTCTTACTTCTCTCATATGGCATGTGGCCAGTGCCCCGTGGCACTCCGCCAACGCCGCCTTTCAACGGAAGCAGCAGAACCTGCGGAGCTATTGGTGACTTCTGTTGGGTGAGGGATTTGGGGTTCTTGGTCTTGTCGTTGGACTTCATTTCATGGTGGTGGTCATGGAGGAGAGAGCATGATAACTAATAATTGATTCAAGTTTGAGTGAAGGAATTTGCCCCTCAAGTATTTAAAAGAATGTTGATGAGGAAATGGGGAAAGAAGACCATCAAATGTGAGAGGGTATGAAATTAATCTTGTGATTGTTTTCTATTTTATCAAGAGCGAGGTTGAGGGACCTGGCTTCTTCTATGGTGATGCTAAATTTTGCGCTCATGTGGTGCTTGAAAAAATCATACAGTTTTAACTATTTGGTGTCAACCATAAAAGGTTGGAGAATAGTAGTATTTAATCATTATTGTTCAAACCCTCTTCTTCCTTTTCCTAAATTTATCAGTAAATAGTTTAGATTTTAACCTTTTCTCAGTCATGTCAAATGGTTTAGGTTAGTCTTTAGGTTATTTGTGTATAGATAGAAGACAAGCTCTTTAGCTGTTATCTCACTAAAATCATATTTTAGTTGTCAAGTCTAGCTAATCTTGTAATTTTATCATATGCAGCATGAAATTCTAAAAATTGAAAAAAAGATTCACGCTAATTGTTAGAAGTTGACTAAGTATTGTATATTTAATGAATGTTTGTATGAGCTATGAAGTTAATGCATATTTGTAGAGTTCCCATCTGATACAGCAATGTCATCATAAGTTTTACATTTGATGTATTTTTTGGAAAAACAAAACAAAAAACAACAAAATAATTATAAAAATAAGTAAGATGTGAAGTCAATATAATGCAATATAGGTAAGTTACTGACTAAGCTGAAGTTCTGATCCACACATTGTAGAGAAATTACTAAAAGAAATAGCACATCTATACATAATGTCAATGTAAAAGACAAGCTACATCAAAACTGTTTTTTTGAAACTCCACATACAAGCGTTAGCACAAATTTTGTGTACATTTTCATCGCACATATCTATTATCCTATGTACTTCAATTTTTGTGCAATATCTACATGGAGCAGCAAGTGCAACGCATGTGTAACCCATACTAATCTTATTAAATATGACATGTAACGTGTTACGTTTCATTCTTCATTATTAATTCTTCAATTTGCTACATTCATAATTCTACATGTAAGTTGATTATTTTGATATGTGACTATTTTTTTTACAGCCGTTTGGATTTCAGTGGTGCCCGTTCCGGGGAATTACACAGCTCGCATCATTGTTCGAGTAAGTTTCACACAAAACTGTAGAGTTCCTTTCTTCCTTCTAAATTTATATCTTTTGAAGAAAATCAGGTTCTCTGTTGAATACGTCTCATTTACTTTTAATTGGTTGCTAATCGAAAAGGCTCTTTTTTTAAAAAGATTGTCCATCTAGCATTTTCTCCTTCACGGATTTCCTCTTTTAAGCAGCCTTTATGTATTCTATTGTATCATCCAGGAATGAAAATGACCATACACCATATAGCTGTTTCTTCCTTCACTTGTCTCATGATCTGTGTATGATCCGTTGGAGATTGATTAGTGGAGGTTTTCTATATAAAATCTTATCATCTCATCTCTCTTTATTATGTTCTTTCCATAATTGAGGGGACCCTTGAATTTTGCTTTTTAAGTGCATGAGCTTTCATCGCATTACCAAGAAAATTTAAAATTGGTATGGCAATTGGCATTTGAGGTTTCGTAGCAAGTTATTTTATTCCTCTTAATCTTGGACCTTTTTTGTCTCTGCATTGTGCTGTAATTCAATCCATTAGACTGAAAATCATCATGACAGTTGAATGTAATGCATACCAAAAAAAAAAAGAAGAAGAAAGAAGAAGAATAAGTACCTGAGTCCTGCTGGGGAAACTTGATTTCGGCAGGATCATGTTAATCCTCAACCTGATCTTGAAAATTTTGACTACTTATGGGTCATATATCTAATTCATGGAGCTGGTTTCATTCCGTGGACATTGATCTTGTTACTATAACAGATTTTCTTTCATTGATTAGAATCATGTGAATATAATTGTAAATATTATAGATGTTTTAGGGACCCAATTTACTTTGTTATTCTTTTCCATTCGTTATCTTGTTCCTTATTAAAATATGAGATTAATATATGTACATTTTTACTGTCATTTTCTTCAACTCCTTTCAATAGGAAAAGTTGAAAAATATTTCAATAATCACTTGGTTCGATAGATAAACTGGGCTATCCTGGTCAGATCACATGTGTTAGTGTAACATATAAATCATCCCTCTCAGTTTACTTCATACTCTTTGGAAAAAGACATCAAATGATGTTACAGAATAAATTTACTTAGCATTGTCTTTGGGAAAAAGGCGTCAAATGATGTTGAAGAATAAATTTACATTTTCATCTTATCTTGGTATTGTCTGTATAAAAAAGCTGGAACGCTGTCGTAGGTAAACTGACTAGTCATTTAACCCCTAATTAACCAAACGCATTTGAATTTCATTAGGTATATCATCAGGTCCTATGGCTTTCCCAGGATGAAAACCCAGTTTACATTCTCTCTGTGGACTGGATATAATCATGATGACTTGATTCCTCATAGTTTTTTGTTGTTGTAGAGCCTCCTCCTATCACTTGTAAAATTGGCCCAGTTACATAAAACATCAACACTGTTACTTGAACTATGGCATTTCTGTACTCTTAAGAGCCATAGGCTTCTCGGATAATTGCTGCTTCTCGTTTACCATATCATGAATTTAAAAAAATCACCCCTTTCATGATGCCTTGATATTTGCACTTGCTCTGCGCTCTCTTGACTGTTTAAATTGGAGTTAACATCGCGGATTTTTTTTTGCCTGCAGGGAAGGAGAATCCCAGCATAATTCTTGTAAGAGATCTCATCTTTCTGTAATTATTCGATTACTTTCTCTTGGTTACTCTTTTAATTTCTGTCATTGTTATTGCTTGCCAATCATTTTATTGAAAAGATCATGAATCTTTGGGTAACACAACATATGGAGAGCGGTCAAGTGCTTCAAGCAGTACCCATGTATGTCCTTACTTGGCACTACATGGACTGCCTCATGCTATGCATACCATGCCGTCTTCAAGTTCCATTGATTCTGTTCCAGAAAGCAATACATTTGCTCGCCATACTACAAACCTGGAAGGAGGGCAACCATCTGCTGATATGCTGAACTCCCATAATTTTACTAGCACTGAACCCCATAGTCACAATTGGCAGCAACAGCAGCATTCCCTCCCCTTCTCTTCACTAGGAAACTCAGCTGATCAGTCTGCATCTCAATTTGGTCCAAGGCTATCGAGAAGTGACGTCAGCAGCCAGCAGAGGTTAGGATCTTTTGTTCATCCATATCCCCTCGCTCACGGGTAAGTGTTAGCATTATCCTTACTCATCTCTTTGAATAAAGATAGTAAACTTAAAAAGCCTTTGAACTTTGCGATGTTTGGATAAACCCCCCTGAACTTTATAAACTATAGAAAAACCCCTGAATGTCTTAACTTAAATACCATGCTTGACGATAGGTAGAAGTTGTCACATTGCTCCTAATGTGACATCTCGTGGACAATTTTATCCTTATCAACTAAATATGACCTCTACATTGCCCTTCCTCATCAGAGTAGTTAGAAGGGCAGTTTAGACTGTTAATCTACCCCTTAATATCATTTATGAGAATCTCAATATTTCAGGGGGTTAAATATAATTTTGAAAGTTCAGGATCTTTTCTATGATTTATAAAGTTCAGGGGATTTTGTTCAAAAGGCCCAAAGTTCAGGGTTTTTGTGGAATTTACCTAATGAAGAACATGTTAGTAATATGTTTGTTAAGACTATCCTTTTATGCAGGTCTGGGCCCCGGAACGGAAGTAATCTAGTGCCACCATTGGGCCCACCAGCTATAGGAGAGCTGAGAGCTCATACGCACACTCGCGGGCATGGCAATAATAATCACATCTATCAGCAGTCTGTTCCTTCCTCATCCATCCGAACCGCTCCATTTCCTCCCATGCGGAGATCTCGCCCTAGGGGATTCACCCTCATATCATCACTAGCAGCAACTTCTTCCTCTGCAGAAGTCAATGGATTCTACGGTTTCGCCTCAGTCTCGAGCTCTGCTAACCGTAGCCATCAAGAAGCGGAGAGCATGTCAAGACATTTTGATCCGTTCTATGGATGGGGCGGGGGTCGAGAGGGCTTGAGCCCACTGCCTTGGATCCCTCTAGAGGGTGAATCACAGTGGTGGGCCCCTTTTAACCCTAACCAGGCTCCTCAATCTGGAGGAAGCTTCCTTCAGAGGGCTAATACTACCGAGAGGGTTGGTCAGAATCGGTCAGATAATGGGTTTCAACGAATGCCACCGCCTCCAAGGATGCCACCGCCTTCGTACATGTGACGACAGAGAAGCTTTTGCGGTGATTGTTATTTGTCTGTAAACTTACCCTGGCAAACATAATGCATGATAACTGCTTGGTCAGCATTTGGGGGTTTGGTGTTGTGAGCTTGGATGCTGGGATTTTTATGTGGGTTTATCTTGAAAACAGCTCTTTATCTGTGTTATTACGTCCTGGGCTGTGGGCAACCATAGTTCTGCATGATGTTTGGATTTTATATTTATGCAGAACAGAGAGTTTGTGCTTCTGAAGCTGCTTGGTATTGCTGTGGGAAAGAAAATGTTGCTTGTGACGTTTTGATTCTGAGTTCTCCTTTTTCTCCGCACTCCCCTTTATTTTTTGCGGTTTTATTTAGTGAAATTATTGTTGATTTTTCTCCTGCTTAAGTTGTTAGTCGCCAACCAAGTTGCGTCGCTGTTACTATGGGCTGCGCTCGGGTATCCTTTGAGCTAGCATTTCGTGTTGAAAGTGAGTTCATATTTTCTAGGTCTGTTAACTTGAAGGAACGCATTGCTCCAAAGCTATATTTTCTGGTTGTGAACCTGTCTCCGTGTTGCCTTATCAGATTTAGCTTGCAGCTCTTGCCATAATTCATCTGCATGTTCAGTTAAGTTTGCTCGTTCTTTTATAGAAGAGTCTGGAATACTTTGGACATGACTGTCCCAACCTTCAATCGGTATAGCGGGACCTTGGAATGGCTTTTGCTCTCGATTCCTTCAATCCTCCAGGCTATTCGGTGCTTTGTCTAATGCTTGAGAGGGTTCCAGTGCTGCATTTATTGTCTGACCGTTGTCGGAATTTTGAATTTGAAGTCGATTCTTGATTTCTTGGCTTTTTTTTAGCTCGAGTTGGTTGTTTCAACACGGAATTGACCATCGGTTGACGGCCTTGAATCTCCATTGTGACGCGTTGTCCGGCGTTTAACACAGTTTATACTCGTAAGTATTTTGGAGTCTACACAGTTTAAGCTCTTAAGGAGTTGGAGCGGGGAGGTCTAGTTTATACTCATACACTCCTGGGAGTTATGTTAAGTTATCCTTAAGAATATTTTTAGAAAAATATTCTCCAGAAACTTCTCAACAAAGAGGAGGGAATAGTTTAAACTCGTATACCTTATTGGAGTATTTCCGTATCCAAATGAGTTGAACCGGTCCGATTTGTTGATTTGTCAACAAGTTTCCATTTAGACTGTAGTGTTATGTACGCACCAACTGGACTAGCAGGACAAATCCTTAGGCCAGAGTTAAGGTCGGTCTTTGGACTGAAAGCCCGTATCCTAACAGTAAGACTTACAGATAAATTTTTTCCCGTACTTACGGTACTTACTACTCAAATGGCCTCATAGAACCATCCACGTCAGTGCAAAACCAAGGCCGAGGCGCCCTCAACTATCGGGTTCGGATCCTAGACGGATCCTTCGAATTCACTCTGAAATACAAACCGCAGAATCGTACCATCGACCCGAATCCACCCGTTTCCGCC